GCGTAAGGTCGTAAGGTGAACTAGGAAGAGAAATGCCAATGGCACGCCAGATGGATCGCAGCTACAGCTACTGGCTACAGCTGCCGCAGATTATTGTATGGTGCATCCCCAAAGAGCTGACGTCCAAGGTTCGAGAAGATGGCGGCGGAAGCGGGCCTGGAAGCTGCAACTCGGCGCTGAAACAGGCCAACATGATACAAAGTGAATCAACGTGATTGATACAAAATGATTCACTGGTTGCAGAACAATCTCAACTGGCTGGCGACTTCAATTCCAAGCCGGTCCACAATTTCTGCACCTTACCGGACTTAGGGCATGACAGGAGTAGCAGGGCAAGAGTCATCCCGAACTTCCTGTTCGTCACAGGGCAGAACAAAGCAATGCTACTATGCAAGATGCTAATCCTTAGATTTTCTGAGGGTGAATTGCTCAGCTTGGGCGGCTTGGGGCTCTATTGCCCTTTGAAACTCTTTGGATCTCCGGCAATTTGACATAGCTACGAAGAACGACAATGTTTAAAAGTTTACTGTAAATAATCTATAAATTTTCCTTGCTATGTAACATTTACCAGCGGGTAGATTTTACCAAGCACCCTTTTCAGGCTCTCGAACTCCAGGGTGTGAAGTATACAGAGCTTCACATATTTTGCACTGCCTAATCCGGCTGTGGCTCATGCCAGCTCTGCAGCCAATCACCTGAGGCATGGGGATACCATTTCGAAACCATGGGAAAACGTATCCAGCGGTCCTTGCAGTCCGAGGAGTGTTTGATCCTTGGTTGATTAAAGGGCTGCTGGGCCGACCACGACCAATTTTGAAACAGTTGGGGCCCAGCTGGTGGTGACCAACAAAGCACAGAGCAGGTGATGACCTTGCCGTTTGATATCCGTTTGATTCTGAGGAGTGGGCTTTTTGGTGGATCCTCAGCAGCTGCATGGAGATATCATGCCACGTGGCACAACAGCTTCTTGATTCTTCTTGTATTTGTTCTTCGTTTCTTATTTGGCTGTTTGGCTTTGTTTTCCTTTTTTTCTGCACTGTTTAATTCTTCTTCTTGCAATTGTGGTTGTTGTGGTTGTGATTGTTACCGTTGTTGTGTTGTAATTGTTCCGGTTGTTGCTGTGGTTGCTTTCGTTTTGCTTTTGGTCGGGTTGTGCTGCCGTCTTTCATGCTTCCAGCACCAACTTGAGCTTTCAGCACTTTCAGCGCTTTCAGCAGGCTGCATCGATCCGCCAGTCATCAGTGTCGTCAGTGCCAAGGCCACCGTAGATTTACCGAATATTTTGGAGCATTTGCGCTCCTGCCAGAGCAGCCCAGAAGGCACGTGAGTCAACGTGGGTCATGGGTCCATTCTGTGTCGGGGCATGTCAGGCACAGGTACGGCAGGCTTTCAGGATGACTCAGGATGCTGCAGTGCTGGAACGATGCACGGCAAGCGGCACTCGTATCAGGTGCGGTGGACCAGGCCTTTCCTTCCGGCATTCGAGCTGTGCTTATCAAAGCGGAAAAAGGTGTCGATGAAAAGCTGCTGATGAAATTTGATGACTAAAGTCACTAGAGTCTAAACCTTTACCATTGAATGAATGGCTCAAAATGGCATTGTGGATTAGTAGCTTACTGGCCTTTTGTAAGGGGTGACAGCCATAGGGCGACAGCCATGTTTAAATCCTTTCAAGAGCTGCCACTCTGCGAATGACGAGGGTAAGAGAATCCAGGGAATCAATATGAATCAATCGATTCTTTTTAGATTCTAGATTCTGACTATATTATATTAATATAATATGACCATATTAATTCTGTTAAAGCTTTCATTGATTCCTTGCGAAACTCTTCGTAGCAACTGGTTTTGGGCGCAATGTGTTTTTTTTTGCTCGAGCCTGTGATATCATCAAAAGTTTGCCAAGCACCCAGATACAATTTCAAGTTTTAAGAGCCAAAGCTATGTGTTTTCAAAGTTTTTTAGTTTGTGCTTCTGTATGTTTTCCAGCCATGGCCGTTTCATATAATATAACAATTTGATAAAACATGTATAATATAAAACATATAAAACATTATAACACAATAATATTAACATATAAATATATATATATATATAATTATAGATAAATAGACATACATACATACATACATATATATATATATATTATTCACATTCTTCATGAAACATATTTGAACATATTAAACAGGGTTGGTGAACACGCATCCCCCAGCCCTACAGCGATGCCACGCCGTTGGACCCGCCGCGTTGCGCCCGGCGCGGCGGCCCTCGTGGCGCTGCACGCGCTGTGCTTCGCAGCCTGGCCGACACACCGCAGCCGTGACGCGGCCTGGCGGAAAGGTGGAAGCTGGGCCGGTGAAATATCCATTACCATCTGGTGATTTTTAATAGGTAAACCATCTATAAATGGGCCATTTTCATCCATTTTCCATGGCTATGTTAAATAACCAGAGGGTATATATTATATAGGTATAATATCCCGTTATGTCACTATGATATCCATTAGGTATAATATCCCAATATCATGATATTTCATTATGACCTCATTATATCCCATGACACACCTTATATAGATTTATATATATAATGTTATCATAAGTTATCATAATGAAATCCATGAATGGATGATAATTAATTAGGTACAATCTCCAGCCCTTATGATCCATTATATAATGATCATGATGGGTGTTAATATAGTTTGATTCAGTTGCTCCTTGTTGGTTGAGTCGTGTCATAATTTGTCCAACACTAAGTCGCAGAAAAGTCCCAAGAAGCGTTTGAATGAGACCACAGCAGGGTTGGTAAAAGTATGCACTTCGAAACACCTGCCTTGTTCTTGTTGCAGGTTGGCCCTGATATGGTTGAGATATCTTCCCATGCTGTATGGGATACCCATTAATTCAAATCATTCCAGGTTATTCCAGGTGAACCCATAAAATGTTATTCCGTTTTAATCCATTGTGAATACAGTGCTACTCTATGTATATGCAAGCATCCATACAATAACCCCGGGCATTTCATTTTAGCTTGGCTTGCACCTTAACACTGCCAATGCATTGCCGGCCCAGAAAACGACAAGAGTAAAAAAACAATAACAAGCTTATACATGTACATGTTCATGAAGCCTGAAGATGGCGACCTGCACAGGCCTCCAAACCGATAGCTAAGCGATAACAAAAACGATAACGACATATTAAAAAAACTCGAGCGTTTGGGCAGATACCCACCTGACCGGCTTGAGCATTTCAGCTTTTGACCTGTATTTTTGATAGATAGCGACGGAACATGAAAGGAAATGAATGCAACATGAAAGGAACATGAGAGGAGATGAATGCAAAATGAAAGGCGATGGCGATGAAAGGAAATGAAAACAAAAGATGACATTTGTTGACTCTCGACCAAGGATGCTCTCACCCACAGAAAGCTGGAAAATTCAGATTTATTGTCTACAGGGAGTTCACCACCTGGGTCATTTAAAAAGATATCGGGTTTTTATAAAATTCCCTTGTGTAGCATGTGTTTGCCATCGTGTGTCCGTTGTTATTTTTGTGGGTTGTTTACCATTTAGGCATGGCTCAGAAAATTTACCCCAAAAAATGGATCGGTTGATCTATGCACCCACACATGCACAATGATATACATATGCTGGTGCGTATGCATGTATCTATATCTATCTATCAATCTATCCATCCATCCATCCATCTATCCAACTATCCATCTGTCCATCTATCTATCTATAGATATGTGTGTGTAAGTATAATTATATGCATATAGAGTGGATATATGACAAATAATACTACATTATATTTTTTAAAAAAAATATACATATGCATATATATTAGTATATGTAGCACAAAAAATGTTGATTTTGCGGACCCATTGGTGCCCCATATTTGCGCTGGAGGTTTCTAGGTCCTCGGTCATGCTTTGCTGCACCCTGAGGCGTCTCAGATCTCGCAACTTCGTGCTGTCGCTGGTCTTCAGGTGGCTGATGCTGCCAATGACCGGGGATGACTATGGAAAGTCACCATCAATAGGTAAATCAACTAATATCAACTATAAATGGGCCATTTTCAATAGCTATGTTGAATTCCCGGAGGGTATGATTTATGATTTTTTTACAAAGAAATTACTTTACTTCGTGTGATCCCCACCATGACATTTATACATGTTCTTACTGGCACATCTTCTGGAATTCTATCTGACATATCTTCTGACATTCTGTTTGGCATTCTATCTGGCATATCTTCTGGCATTCTATCTGGCAAATCTTCTGGCATTCTATCTGGCATATCTTCTGGATTCTATCTGACATATCTTCTGGCATTCTATCTGGCATTCTATCTGGCATATCTTCTGGCATATATTCTGACATATCTTCTGGCATTCTATCTGGCATTCTATCTGGCATTCTATCTGGCATATCTTCTGGAATATCTTCTGGCATATCTATCTGGCATATCTTCTGGCATATTTTCTGGCATTCTACCTGGCAAATCTTCTGGCACTCTATCTGACATTTTATCTTCCTACATGAGGTCCGGCAGGGAACACTTGGCGTGGATCCTCGCGGTTGAGGTCCGGCAGGGAACACTGGGCGTGGATGGTCGTGGTTGAGGTCCGGCAGGGAACACTGGGCGGGGATGGTCGTGGTTGAGGTCCGGCAGGGAACACTGGGCGTGGATGGTCGTGGTTGAGGTCCGGCAGGGAACACTGTGCGTCGACGGTCGTGGTTGAGGTCCGACAGAGAACACTGTGCGTCGAGGGTCGCAGTTGAGCAGGAGGACGAGGAGGACGAGGAGGACGAGGAGGAGGAGGAGGAGGACGAGGACGAGGAGGAGGAGGACGAGGAGGAAGCAACTGACATAAAATCTAACAACCCTCACCTGGCAGGTGGGGAAAAACACGCAAGAAGACATTACTGATCACACAACCTCCTCCTGCTGAATTCTTCTATGATGATGTCCATCCGGCCTCTGGCCCGCGATCGAGTAGATGAGGGCTCAAATGCTCCAACCAATGTTCCGATGTCACATATCCACCATGCCACCATAGCTGTGATACACAACAGAAACCCTATGTGATGTTGACTCTCTCAAGCATCAATCCAGCATGAGATCACTTCAAGTAATTTGTAGTAACTTGCTGTAAGATGTTGCCTGTCTCAAGCGTCTTTGCAAACAGCTCCAAAGGTACAGAAATGCAAATGTCTCTGTCCACCCCAGTGACTCTGTCATCTGTTCCAACTGATTGCTTCAAATTTTGCCACCTGCAAAGTAAGAAGTGGCATTGCCCCGGGCACTCTACCACACACGCGCGAGTTTGCAAATAATATATAACATATTTGTCTGACATTCTTTCTAACTTTCTTCTGCACATTCTTTGTCCCATATCTTCCTACATGAGGTCCGGCAGGGAACACTTGGCATGGATCCTCGCGGTTGAGGTCCGGCAGGGAACACTGGGCGTGGATGGTCGTGGTTCAGGTCCGGCAGGGAACACTGGGCCCGGATACTCGCGGTTGAGGTCCGGCAGGGAACACTGGGCGTGGATGGTCGTGGTTGAGGTCCGGCAGGGAACACTGGGCGTGGATGGTCGTGGTTGAGGTCCGGCAGGGAACACTGGGCCCGGATACTCGCGGTTGAGGTCCGGCAGGGAACACTGGGCGTGGATGGTCGTGGTTGAGGTCCGGCAGGGCACACTGGGCGTGGATGGTCGTGGTTGAAGTCCGGCAGGGAGCAGGAGGAGAGGAGACGAGGAGAGGAGACGAGGAGAGGAGAGGAGAAGAGAGGAGAGGAGGAGGAGGAGGACGAGGAGGAGGACGAGGAGGAAGCAACTGACATAAAATCTAACAACCCTCACCTGGCAGGTGGGGAATAATGTATCAGCACCTACTGGAAACTAAAATACTCTAACATGGCATTGTCTCGCAGGATGCAAGGAATAATCTAGAGTCTCTAGAGCCATCTATTGTTCAATGATCATTTACTGTACTGCTTGCTCCTCTTGACACTTGACCCTTCAAATGTTCAATGGAACCCTTGCATACCCTTGCCACTGGCAGGAGATAGTCCAGCCAGTCACCGATTTTGCGGGAAATGGTCACTGGTCGGGAGCTGGGCAGGATGGCGAAGTCACCACTTTATATCGCATGCTTTCCATATATAGATATAGAGGTGGATAGACGTGAATTATGTCATTTCCCTTGGCAAGATTCCAAGAATTGGTGGGAAACCCTAACATTTGGGTGTTGAAGCTATGGTTGCAGGTTTTGTTCAACAAGACCAATCTGTTAAAGGCGAAAAAAAACAAATAAAGCCCAAAGACGCCAAACAACACCCAGAAAGGATCCAAATAGATCCAAATAGCCAAACCAAAGAACCTCCCAAACAAATTCCCCAAAAGGACCAATCAACACAATCATCCCTGGGTGTCAAGGCACTGCCTTCGTCCTGCCAGACACTGTGCTGCCCAACGCGGCACCTCCCGAGACGCGGCGCTTCGACGTGCCCGGATTCAGCCCTGGTGACATGGCAGGGAAACAATGAACTGGAAATACCGGGGAAGGATATGAAACTATCGTAATATGTTGGAACACTATTACTAGTGGACAAAAGACTTTAAGTGCTCATGATTCGAAATTGGCACTATGGATCGCTATTGATCATGTTTCGTAAGTGTTGTTTATGCTGACGTCGTCCAATACGGCCCCGGGGAATTTGCTAGTTTTTAACAAACATGGGTTGGGGTGGGGTAGGATGTTAACGTTCATGGTACGCTGATGATGATGTTGTTACGCTGCCCGTTGGGGTTGGGGTGGGGTGGGGTGGGATGTTAACGTTCATGGTACGCTGATGATGTTACGCTGCCCGTTGGGGTTGGGGTGGGGTGGGGTGGGATGTTAACGTTCATGGTACGCTGATGATGTTACGCTGCCCGTTGGGGTTGGGGTGGGGTGGGGGGGGATGTTAACGTTCATGGTACGCTGATGATGTTACGCTGCCCGTTGGGGTTGGGGTGGGGTGGGGGTGGGATGAATATGTATATAGATATATATATATATATGTGTGTGTGTGTGTGTAAACGGCTATCCATTCAAGCCGAAGTTATTCATTTGTCGTCATTCACATGTCGTATTGAGCTTCGATCTTGGAGGCAGTAGCATCTCCCGGATTTCATTTATGTGTGTCAGTTTGGCGAGATTCAGTTTGCGGTAATTAATTTTGCAAGAATTCATTTCTGCGAGCTTTCAGTTTGCGAGATACGAATTTTGATAAATTACGAACCAGTAGCAGGGGGCCAGCGCATGGCATCACGACGCTGGCCAACGAAGCTAGTGATGTCATGGGAAGCAGTTGGAGACGTCCAACTGTGTACCTGCAAAGAAGTTTGAAACTTTTGACAAGCTGGCATCCTTGGTATGTTTTGAGAGTCCTTTGAACTGCAATGTGTATCATGTTGGCAAGTTCACCCTGTCAGCACGTGTGACGTCCGATCTCGTAAGGCCACTTAGGTTCATCAAGGCGTATGCATCTTCATCACCATATCGAATCTCATCGCGTTCCTTACGGAACCATATCTCAGTGTGTGCATGCCTGTTTGTGTCAGGTTACACACACATATATATATATGGATATATAAATATATTGTATATATACTTGCATATATGTATATAAGAATCAGTGTACATGTCCAAGTATGCAAGGTATGTGTCTATGTCTGGTCTATCATGTATGCAACACGATCCTAACATATTGCTGGCTTCCAAGCGTTTTTTTTCGCTGATTTGCACATGGACTTGTAAAACCCATTGGAAATAGCACAAAATGGACACAAAGTGCTGTAAAACGCAAGGCACTTGAACATGGCGCAAAATCCATGGTGACAGAAAGTGCCATAAGGGTTATCGAAATAGCAAGATGCTTGTTTTCAAAACAAACAAAAACAACGGGACCGCAATGGACGACGTTACCTTGTTTATTGATGAAGACTGAAGCCGTGCATGTTTTAAGTTGCGGCTTGGGGGTGCTGATGCCTTTGCAATTTACCGAACTAGTTCACATATTTGTGGAAGTCTTGATGTTTCAAATACTTTTGCGTGACAACTCGTGCAATGATCAATTGCAATAAAAGAACAATATATTTTCAAGCGCGGTCGGCGGTCGTATTGCCACTGCGCATGATACCAACAACATACCAGCAACCATAGCAATATAGAAGCAAAAAACACGCAAAACGCTCACAGGATAGCACTTCCAAAGTATATAATTTGTCTCCAGCCATTCTGTGTTCGTTATGATGTCTATGCCAGCGGACCGAAAACCGTGCTCATAAAATGCACGTTTTTGCTAGCGTGTGTTCGGAGGTCATGAATGGGTGGGGCGGGGGGGCATGTTAACGTTTCTTGTACTTCTTCCGCTACATGTTGATACGCTGCACCAATGTCTGGTAGTGTTGCATCTTTGTATACATTGTCGAACTGGTCCGCAGTGCTTGAAGGTGGACACATGGGTTGCTAGTGCGTGTGTTCGGAGGTCATGAAGGGGTGGGGTGGGGTTCAAAGATCTTCAAAGAGCAAAGATTTTTTCCTCTATGTGAAGGCCTGGCAGTGGAGATATGTGAATCTGCATGCCCATCTCCAGCAAAAAACAATTTCAACGCTGAAGCGCCTGCTCTGAAAAGAAAGAAAAAACCTGTCAACATGTTCCAATGAAATGAATCCAAAACCCACACGAAACGCAAATTTTGCCAAATTATCGCGCGAGAATTTGGCACAATTCGGCTTGCAGAAATGTCTTTTTCACTATGGCGAAAATGCGATTTTTTAGAAAAACATTGTTTCTACGAGCACGGTTCCTGGTCCGCCGGGATGTTTATGTATAATTACAGCTGTGACCTTCTTCCGCGGGTGCCAATACCTAGGCTTTGTGGTAGATGGTGTCATCAGCAAGGAAGCAGCTTGGTAGCACGCACGGAGGAACTGGGTAGTTTTCGCCCAGACAGTACAGCATGCAGAAGCTGTAGATGTCCTTCTATTGATTGTTCAAATATGTTCAAATATATTTGAAACACTTGAACCCTGAAACGCTGGGAAGGCAAGGCCTTTGTATGAGAAACGCTTTAGGTATTCAGCTCATTTGCGGCCAGTAACATCATGTAGAGAGTTGCGGTGTTGGGCGGCGGAGAGATTTGTAATTTACAATATTGATCAATATTGCTGTTCAATGTCCTGTTGCGTTGGGAAGCAAATGAGAGATGATCAAAGCAACTTGCCCTCCCCAGAGAGTGAGATAGACCCGGAAACTAGCAAGATTTAAGTGGAAGCATGTGCACACTGTGGACGCTAATTCTCCAACCCCTATTTGGCAGGGTCTATGTTAATTGACTGGAGGGTATGTTATCTTCGGCTGCATGTTGGCCAGAACATGGCCACCCAAGGACTGCGAGAAGGTGGTGCAAATCTCCGAAGCCATCGGCTTCCGGACACGTTGGAGTCAGGCCTTCCAACGTTGCGTTTGTGTCGGGGTGGATTTAGATTGGAAAATGCGAGAGGTGTGGAGACTTGTATATCCGAAAAGCCAGTCATCTTCACAGATCTATATGCAATAAACTAGTATTTTATGTTCCTGCACATGTTTGCAAAGAGCCACGTGAATTTGCATGGTCTTGATCATGTCAACCTTGCTCCACCTGCTTTGGTTCAAAAAAAATCCACATCTTGACGAGGTGGGTGCTGTGACCCTCTTTATGCCCGAGGATTTCTCAAACCGGATCTTTGAACGACTGATGCTTTGTTTGAACCTTGAGAATGGTTGCGCCTGGTAGCAAAAGTATTTTGCTTTCGGGGTGCCTTGGTAGGTACCACCAGGCCAGTGCCACAGATCGATCTCTGTTGAACCTCCAATCTTTGGGCGATATATGGCGATATCCAAGCTTGGCGACGGAAATGTTGTCCTCAGGAAGCCTGTTGTCCTCAGGAAGCCTTTCCTTCCGGATCACTTCGGCGGTAGACCCATCGGCATCCATCGACGTGCCTTGGCGGAAGATTTTGGGCACTGGGCTTAGGACCTCTCTCTTCCTGCGGTCCTTGCTGTACTGTTTCGTGATTGGCATACTCAGCAACCATTTCGAAATGACATTGACACCGCAGTAGCAGCAAAAATCTGGAATATCTTGGATGTTTTGCAAAAGCAATTTGCATTGCAAGTATTTACCGTAGTTGTGGGTGCTGGACTGAGGCTGGGCTGTGCTGAAGTACCAGAAGGGGCCACCCGGCATGCCAGCGACAGGGGTGGTATAGGCCACGGAAACCAGGGAATCCCCAACATTGCCTAAGATCCGTAGAACCTGGTGACACAAAACAATATTTGGAATCTTTGATGGGGTTCAGATTGCAGTTTTCCCGGCCACAAATTTTGCGAATCGATCAAACATGTTAGTAGTGCCCTTGCTGAGAAGTAGGCAGCACATGGCCAAAGAATCAATATGAGCGAGGTCCGTCCATCCCAAATGACAATGGATTCATCTACATTCTGTATCACATGGTCTTGCCCCAGACCCTGACCCTCAGTGATCTCTTGGGCGGCACCAGCAGAGGCAATACCTCAATCCCCACATTGATGGCCACACGCCTGGTACAGTGCTCGCAGGCCCGAAGGATTTGACAGTTGACCATGCTGAAGTTCTCATACAGAGACGCAACAAAAACCAATACAAAATCCAGCAGGAAACGGTAAACGTCTATGCCATCTCCTGGATCTTCTTGGTTCAAGTTCCAGTGCATATGTGGGCGTTATGCTGTGTGCCCTGCGGCGCATTAGTCTTGCAACCTTCAAATTACTTCAAAGATCTTCAAAAGGTTTTTGCTTGGGTTGGAACCCTCCTACAATAATTCTACAAGTACATCTCAATCAAATCTGATTCTTGCAGGAAATGAGCTGACCTGTCCCTGCCACGACCGCCCTCAGGCGATGGGTTGCAGAAGGATGCCGGCACTCGCTCGTCTCCTGGCTGCAAGGTCACCCCATCCCAGTTTCCTGCAGCAAAAACCAGCGGATACCCATGGATACCCAAAGGCCCCAGACTTACTTTTTTCATTTTTTTTCCGGGTGAACATGATCACCCATGAGATTTTGGTATCTCAATTTCAATCATGAGAAACCCATGCCATATATGCCATATATATCCATATTATATATTAGCTAAAATTTAGCGTAATGGAAAGTAGTATTATTCGAGACATCTTTATTTTTGAAAATTGAGCTGGGGCTTGGAAAACGATAATGCACTCTTCAAAAATTGATGACTTCGAGCTATATAGTAAATATTTACCGTGGCCCACATATCCCCCTGGCGAAGGGGCACAGTATGGGTGTGTCAACAGTGGCCAGGTATATGACGTGCCTCTTTTGGCTAAATGATGAGGTCGAAGGCGGAGAGACAGTGCCCTGGACGCAGAATCACGTTTGCACTAGTGTCTGTAGAAAATGCAGGAAAAAGAACATAAAACACAGTGTTTGGAGGTGCCTTGAAAGTTCGTTCAACCCACAGACTGTTTAGATTTTGGATGGGATTGGATGGGTGTGAATGTTGTAAGCCACACAGTATGCCCATTCATTTGTGGATTCAATTCCATATTTGGGTGCCTTTGTATGTGGCTGTCCTCACTCAAACCAACAATAAGACAGCAAGTGCAACCATGGCTTGGAAGCAGGGAGGTGCGACGGATCCATCATATCCATCCATCTTCAAAATCTTTACTGCTGAGTGGTGGTGCGTTGAGCCATTTGCCCACTGCAGTGACCAGCGCCTAGGGCCCGATTCAGACATGCCCTCGCCTGCAAAGGTCTTCACCTATCCACAAGGTGGCATTTGGGTGGCCATCCCACCAAAGCCTCTTGGACGAAATGCTGATTGCAGCATGCTTTTGCATGCCTTTGCTGGAGCCATGTGTGGGAAAATATTCGATGTGTGACACTGATACTGTTTGATACTGGCATATACTTGTTAACTTGCGGAATGCCAAAGACGAGTAGAAACACCAGATTCATCCAGATTCAAATACGTTCAAATTCTGGCTATGACGTTAGAGCTGTACCCAGTTCCGCCGCTGCCACACGACCCCGGGATCCGCTGAGGAGGGGTGGAGCCCTGCTGTTTTATCATGGCCAGAACGCCATCAACAACCCCATGCATTATGGCGGGGATGTCAAGTCCGGGGTCAAGTACTTGGTTCCTTGGCATTCCCTGGCTGAAACGGCTGAAACTTCGCTGCCATGACAAAAGTTCATGAAAGTTGCACTGATTTGGGTCAGCCCTTCCCTGGCTTCGCCCGAGGTGCGCTCAGACATCATTTACAAAGCGTGAAAGCCACCCGTGTTTCACTCGACGCTCCGAGCGTCTCGAGAGAGAGAGAGGAGAGAAAGACAAAAAATGAATAAAAATGATCCGTACCGTACGGCCGTGCGGCTGCGGCTTGGCTGACCCTGATATGTATCCCAGAAAACCTTGCGGGATGAATATGTAGAGAGAAGCAACCAAGAACCGACCACTGGAGTTTGTTCCTTTGGCAGAAACACCGGGGTTATGTGGGGTTGCTTTGTTATGAGGTTTGATTCTTTGATGCTGACTGCTTCCTGTAGGGAGCCCTGCTCGCCAGGTTTCGTCAGCGGCAGCCCCAACAACTTTTCCGACGCTCGACTGAATTCAGGGTCGTGCTACTTGACCAGCTCTTTAGCAAAGCTCAATCACGCAGGCACAGGTGATCGGGTGGGTACATTGTTTGGGGATGTTTGGTGGGAATTGCTGTATATATAATATAGTCTTGAGATGTCTGGAGACTGGGTCCAAAATAAATGGTTACCAGAAATACTGGCTCCATTTGTTCGCCTTGACAGAATCACAATGCTGCTGTAATCTTGGATGGTCTGGTGCACCGATACTTTGTCACAGGGGATTTCATGATTCATAAACAATCATAAAGAATCATAGATATTCACAATGCGTATACATGTATCTGTATACTGTTATGTTTGTGTTCTTTGTCGGATGCATCTCCAAGACAGACTTTTGAGGACCGCTTCGCGGTGGGCCACAAGAAAACCAGGTGCCAGCTGCAGTCATATCAAGTGGCTGCACACAGAGAACCTCCAACCTCTATAGAACATTGCTCGAACTTGAAGATTGTAGAGGGAAGTATAGCTTAGATGGGCCGAAGAATTTCTCCATTTTTCTCGAATATTCACAGAACATGCAGGCAGAAAGATTCTTAATTTTCAGCTTCAAATGTACAGTTATGAAGGGTAGTTTGGACGCGATTCTCCTGCCTGTTCTAGAGACTCGGAAGACTGTCCATAGTTCACACTCCATGATTTGCCGCTAGGTTCTCCAGCACGTGCCGGATACTGAGTTGATTGAATGACAGTGGCAGTGGATATGTTTGCCTTGTTTGGCTTGATGAATGTGGGTAATTAAAACAATAAAATAATAAACTATCTCCCAAATCCATACACCGGTGTGAAAGTATGTGGCGCAGAAAACACTTTCTGCGGGCACTTAATAGATGGCGCGGACACCGGTATTTGGAACAAACGAAATCTGAGAAAAAAACAACATCTGCCCAAGTGAAGGTAGATGGCGCCGCACAGTGCGGCGCCATCTACCTATGCCAGATTCTATCCAAATGTAAATGATGTGGCTGAAATTTAATGAAATTTGTGGAGTAGATTCTGCGCCATGTTTTCCTTCCTTTTCCCCCTGCGGTCTGTCGATGCAGTAAAGTACGGTTCGAGAACGTGGTGCTGTAATATACCGTGCGCACCTGAGCCTACTTTCCCATGCAACACAGGCGAATAAATATTTGATCTTCGGTCAAACATGTTGAATCTGTGCGTTTTCGCAACCGGGTACGTGCAGTTTGGTCATGTTTACCCTTATTGTCAAAGCTGGCGCAGCTCCAAGCACATAGGTGGTTCTTGTGGCCCAGTTGCGCCATCTACTGTGCATTCGATTTGGTGGTACACGTACATGATTTTTGTGAGAGAGAGAGAGTGCTCACATGAATACACCAATGACATGTGAGGTGCGCCATCTATGTGGCTGCAATATGGGGAGGTTCCGCGTGTGCTTCTGGAGTTGCGCCATCTTTGGCAGTGGCAAGCATGACCAAACTGCACACACCCCGGTCGCGAAAACTCCACAGACTCAACATGTTCGCCGAATAATACTATATAAATTATATAAATATGTATTCGCCGTTTTGCGTGGGAAAAAGATGGCTTAGGTGCGCACGCTATAATAATGCGAGTTGCGCCATGTATGTTGGCCCCCCCGGGGGGCAAAGTACATGGCGCAACTACTGTTTTCGGCGCCTGGTACTTTCACCCCGGAATAAATAGGTGGTAATTTTTGTTTCATCCACATTACTCTTGATTGAGCCCAATGAGATGAGGTGAAGCAGATGTCACCAGCACCACGGCCCTTGACTCAACGGAGGGTTGGCCATGGTTGGCCCTTGTACCTTCACAGAGTGCTGACCCATAAAGATATGTTCAAAAGAAAACATCCTTGCCTTGCTCCTTTGGATTTATAATCCATTACCATTCTCTGAATGGGATGCAGCAGAGATGCAATTTTTACCATTGGATCAGAATTGTACTGGTATCACTCTCATTGTTATCATGTTCCTTTTTATTTTCCTGGCCATTGCCATGAATTATCGCCCTCCATTCTGTGTTCAAAAATAATTATAGCTGGAAAATCGTCCATAATTTAAGATCTCCAGACAGGCCAAAGCACCGGACCAATTCGATGGGACCACGCCGCAACTCGAGACCTTGAAATTAATTTGAAAAAAAGAGGCGAAAATTACTATATCTCACAAATAATCTATATATATATTATAATTACAAAAAATAAAATTACTTTACTTCGAGTGATCCCCACCATGACATTTATACGTTTTAATATTGACATATCTTCCACCACAAGCATTGCTTCTACCAAGTGTGGCGACGTATTCCCCAGCTCCACAGGAACATCCGCGCAAGCCATCACAAAGTCTCTGTCTAAGTCTATTCGGAAATGTTCTGAAGGTCACATATCTGTCTGCAGCGAAATAGGGCCAAAGAAGCGGTAGCAATACTGGCACAACCGCAGCAGCCCCTGGATCTTGGAACAGTTAAAACAAATCAAGTGGGCACCACTGTAAATAAACATAGTTAACATCAAACTATTTGTTTTATTAGGTTTCTGTACAGTGTTTGAGCAGGCGTGCATGATGTTGATGTTATAAGTTTGTATTGGTTAGCATAATATGTTCAAAGCATCTGATACACATAGTCAACTCAACTTCATGAGAAGATGAGATGCAGAATTCATCGAGTACAAAAGCAAGGTTGATCAGTAGCTGCAGAGCCAAACCGAAATAAAACCATCTTGGCATACACACACCCTGCAAAAGACAGACAGAAAAGCAAGCAGAGACCTGATATCTAACTGCACAACAAATCCTTACAGTACATTCTCTGCAACTGCTCAGCATGGGAAAGATTCACGTATTTTTTCGCAATTACCATCTGCAGGCCGACCTAGACAAAACTAGTAAGGCCACAACAAGCGCAGGATTACTGTCCTACCTTCTGGCATTCTATCTGGCATATCTTCTGGCATTTTATCTGGTATATTTTCTGACATTCTATCTGATATATCTTCTGGCATTCTATTTGGCATATCTTATAGTATTTTATGTGGTATATCTTCTGGCATTCCATCTGACATTCTATCTGGCATATTTTCTGGCATTCTATCTGCCCGTTGAGGTACAGCAGTGCACACTGAATTGGGAAGGGCCCCGGTTGAGGTCTAGCGGTGCACACTGAGCTGGGCAAATCCCAGGTTGAGGTCCAGCGGTGTACATTGGGCTGGGCAGGTCCTAGGTTGAGGTCCATCGGTGTACACTGAGCTGAGACGGTCCCTGGTTGAGGTCCAGCGGTGCACACTGAGCTGGCAAGGTCCCAGGTTGAGGTCCAGCGGTGCACACTGAGCTGGGAAGGTCCCAGGTTGAGGTCCAGCAGTGCTCACTGAGCTGGGCAGGTCCCAGGTTGAGGTCCCTCTGCACACTGAGCTGGGAAGTTGGCAAAGAGCTTGGCGAAGAGAGTCGGCAAAGAGTTTGGCGAAGAGTTGAGTTGGCAAGGCGGAAATGGAGGGGGAAATTATTGCAGATATGGAAAAATTAGAGGAGGAGGAGGAGGAAAATAATTCTGATAAAATCTAACAATTTTTACCTGATAAATGGAAAATAAATTTTGGAATGATTAATATATTTTTCATTTTATATAATATTTCCTATTCTAATTATTTCCTTAATTAATATAAAATAAAAAAATATATAAATAAAATTATATTTATATTTAATATATTTATTTAAATAAAAATATAGATTTTTCTAAATTAATATATAAATAAATATATAAATAAATATATTATATTTAAAATATATTTAGAATTAATAATAAATATTTATATTATTAAAATTTATTTAAAAAATAATTTTTAAATAATAATAATTAATATTATAATATATTATTATTTTTTTATTTGTAAAAAATAATTAATTAAATTAATTTGTATAATTAAATAAATAAATATATATATATATATTCGCATTAATATTTTAGTTAAAATTTGAAAGCTTTGACTTAACAATTTAATATATTTTATAAATAAAATAGAATTTTAAAAATATCCCTAGGACCACCATTTAAAAAAAATAAAAATCCCACATTATTATGTGGCCTCCTCCGCCTCGCCCTCCGTCGCCTCTTCTTTATTTTTATTTATTAATTACTTACTTAATCATTTATTTATTCCCACACTTATTTACTTACTTATTCACTCCCTGGCTACCTTTCGCGTGGCAGGCGCACTACACAGAGCCTCCTGGAGGAGCTGCGGCGGGCGTGGGCACCGCTGGGCCGCGGCTGGCTTCGCGTGGCAGGCGCAGTACAGAGAGCTTCCTGGCTGTCTTTCGCGTGGCAGGCGCAGTACACAGAGCCTTCTGGAGGACCTGCGCCCACGCTGGGCCGCGGCTGGCTTCGCGTGGCAGGCGCAGTACAGAGAGCTTGCTGGCTGCCTTTCGCGTGGCGCAGTACACAGAGCCTTGTGGAGGAGTTGCGGTGCGCGTGGGCGCCGCTGTGCCGCGGCTGGCTTCGCGTGGCAGGCACAGTACAGAGAGCATCTTGGCTGCCTTTCGCGTGGCAGGCGCAATATACAGAGCCTTGTGGAGGAGCTGCGGCGCGTGTGGGCGCCGCTGGACCGCGGCTGGCTTCGTGTGGCAGGCGCAGTACAGAGAGCTTCCTGGGTGCCTTACGCGTGGCCGGGCGCGTAGACTTATTATCACCATTTACATCACAATTCCATTTATCCCACCACAATTTCTCATCATAATTTATCACAATTTATCACATACCAACTCATCACAACTCCACTTCTCACACCTTACTCATCATAACTCTACTGCTCATCACAACTCTATTTCTGACAGATCCATTTCTTTTCCCAATTCATCACAATTTATCACACCCAATTCATCACAATTCCACTTCTCACATCTTATTTCTCACAACTCCCTTATCACATCACAATTTCTTATCACAATTTATCCCATCACAATTCCACTTCTTACACTCCTTCTCACACCATACTTATCACATCAGAACTCATCACAAATCCACTTCTCACACCTGACATCACAAATCCACTTCTCACACCTCATTTCTCACACCTCCCCGAAGTTCACATTAAAATCTTACATATTTAAAAATTTGACATGTGGGGTTATCCGGTTCTTTTATTTTTTTAAGGTTGTATTATGGGTTTATATGGGGAGGTTATGAAATTATTTTATAATTATTTTTCTTTGGATACCATATAATAATATTTAAAAAAAATATTTTGAAATAATTTGTTATTTGACCTGTAAAAAAAATTATAATTTTTTGGTTGGTAATCCCTCCATTGGATTTATAGAAAGATATCAAATATATAATAATTACAAAATGACCTGTAACAAAACAAGAGATAATATATTGGATGTTGAAATTAGAAATAAAGTCCTTGGGCATGATATTTTGTAGCAAAATTATGTTGATGCCCCTGGACACTGGTTTTTTATTTTGTAGTTGGATATTTTTGATGGTGGTTATTTATTTTGTAGTAAATCAGGATAAGGCCCAAGATTTGTATTAATAAAATGAACGGGCACAAGGTCTCCCCGGATATTTCATTACGGATATATATATATTATAAATATATTTATAATTTATAAAAAAATCATTTGA